CGAACCGACCACCTGATCCGGCAAGTCTTACAGAAGCCCGACCTGGCAGGAAGAATGATGAAGTGGTCGGTTGAGCTATCGGAATTCTCCATCAAGTATGAGCCGAGAGGAGCAATCAAGGCTCAAGCTTTGGTCGACTTCCTGATGGAATTAACTCCTCCTATTAGGGCGGGGAGTGTCGGAGAAACCCAATGAATTCTATCAGTAGACGGTGCTTCGAATCTCGGAGGAAGCGGAGCGGGAATTGTCTTGGAAGGTCTGGGGGGCATATTGTTGGAACAGTCACTACGCTTCGAGTTCTGGGTGAGCAATAATCAGGCAGAATACAAAGCACTGTTGGCAGGAATGGGTTTGGCAAAGGAGATGGGAGCGACGAGCTTGTCAGCTAGAAGCGACTCCCAGTTGATCACCGGATAAGTGGCTGGAACCTTCCAGGCGAAGGATCCTCAATTGGCCAAGTACTTGGAAAAGGTCAAACTCCTATCGGAAAATTTCCGAGAGCTCACACTTAACCACGTACCACGAGAGCAAAATTCACGGGCCGATCTGCTCTCCAAGCTTGCAAGCACAAAGAAGCCAAGAGCCACTCGGTCGGTTATCCAAGAAACCTTAGCTCAGCCAAGCATTAATGCTCCACAGGGGAGTGTTCTTTTCATCCAAGAAGAACTCGATTCGTGGATGGGACTGTATATTGCATACCTGACAAGGGGAGAGTTGCAGAGGACAAGAAGGAGGCGTCATTGATACAAAGGGAGTCACCTAGGTTTGTGGTCATCAATGAGAGGTTATATCGAAGGGGTTTCAGCAATCCCCTTTTGAGATGTTTGACCACATCACAAGCGCAAAGAGTGATGGATGAAGTGCATGGCGGCATGTGTGGAAGTCATATCGGAGGATGTGCACTAGTATACAAAGTTGCAAGGGCAGGGTATTTTTGGCCGACTTTGAGAAACGACTGCGTCAATTGGGTTCAAAAGTGTGATGAATGTCAAAGACACGCAACGTTGCGCCACTCTCCAGCTGAACGACTCCATTCAATCTTGTCTCCTTGGCCATTCAACAAGTGGGGTATTGATATTCTCAGCCCATTTCCGATCGCGGTAAGACAGTTGAAGTTCTTGATAGTGGCTGTAGACTACTTCAGCAAGTGGATTGAGGCGGAGCCCGTAGCAACCATTTCGGCGGAGAAGGTAAGAACATTTTTATGGAAGAATGTGGTATGCAGATATGGTGTCCCCCAAGTACTCGTATCGAATAATGGGACGCAATTCGCGAGTGGGCGAGTTCGTGATTTTTGTCAAGAGATCAGAATTTAAATGACATTCACTTCCGTCGAACACCCCCAGTCTAACGGCCAAGCGGAGTCGGCCAACAAGGTTATACTCTCGGGACTGAAAAAGCGCGTCCAAGACTCAGGCGTTTCATGGGTGGAGGAGCTTCCCCGAGTTTTATGGTCATATCACATGACTGTTCATTCATCGACCCAGGACACCCCTTTCAATCTAGTGTATGGGACAAACGCAATGATACTGATTGAAATCGCCGAACCCTCGGTACGTACCACATGCTTCTCGGAGGAGGAATCCGAACAGGGGAGGCGAGTTGATTTGGATTTGATCGCGGAAACAAGAGAGAGCAAGGATAAATCAAGTAGCGGCACAACTAAGGGCAGCTTTCAAGTATAATACAAAAGTCGTTCCAAGAGACTTTGTGGTAGGAGATCTCGTTTTGAAGCGCGCTCAGCTGACTCAAATGAGAAACAAACTATCACCCAAATGGGTCGGCCCTTACAAAATTGATGATGTGGTCGGCAAAGGAGCTTACCGACTAAGGACCCTAGATGGAGGGAAGATTCCGAGAACTTGGAACGCTGCAAACTTACGTTTCTATTATAGCCAATCTTTCATTTGTATCAGGTGCACTCTTTTCCTACCTCAGTATTTTTTCCCCGTAAAAATGAGAGGGGTTTTTTGCTGAGAAGGTTTTTAATGAGGCACCACAAACCAATAATTCCTCAATCCTAATAATTGTCATCCCCTATTTTTCTTCTATGATTATAACATGTGTTATTTTAAGGGCACAAAAACTCGTGATTGATCAGTTAAAATCTGACTGGACGAGTATAAATAATTCGAAGACAAACTCGTGATTGATCGGTTAAAATCTGACTGGGCGAGTATAAATAACTCGAAGACCAAAACTCGTGATTGATCGGTTAAAATCTGACTGAGCGAGTATAAATAACTCGAAGACCAAAACTCGTGATTGATCGGCAAAAATCCGACTGGGCGAGTATAAATAACTCGAAGACCAAAACTCATGATTGATCGGTAAAAATCCGACTGGGCGAGTATAAATAACTCGAAGACCAAAACTCGTGATTGATCAGTAAAAATCTGATTGGGCGAGTATAAATAACTCAAAGACCAAAACTCGTGATTGATCTGTTAAAATCTGACTGGGCGAGTATAAATAACTCGAAGACAAAACTTGTGATTGATCAGTTAAATTCCGACTGGGCGAGTATAAATAACTCGAAGACACATTCGTGGTTGCTTGGTAAAAACCCGACGCACACCCTTTCCAACCGTTTCAATTATCTGATCGGATTTTGGACGACAACATTGTTAAACATATGAAGTCAGGATTAGAACGATGTAACATCATTCAGGAACACCTTTTCAACTTCTTTATTTTACAAAATTGGACCGATTTGCTGGTGAAAAAGACTCCAAGTTTTATAAATGAGAAAATTGATTGTGAAACTCGGCATTGAGCCGATTGCTTTTGGTTGTGCAACTCGGCATTGAGCCGATTGCTTTTGGAAAATACTCCAAGATTTTTACGTAGAAAAATTTACTCAGCATTGAGCCGATTGCTCTCGGAAAACACTCCAACTTTTGCCTCTTTGGATAAAGAAATCGGAATTTGGCCGATTCCTTATGGTTCAAAACCTTCAAATTTTAACTTGGAATCTTTTTGGGTCTCTTGGAAAGGATAATCGGAATTTGGTCGATTCCTTATGGCTCAAAACCTTCAAATTTTAACTTGGAATCTTTTTGATTTTTTGAGAAGATAATCGGAATTTGGTCGATTCCTTATGGTTCAAAACCCTCAAATTTGAACTTGAAATCTTTTTGGGTTTCTTGGAAAGTATAATCGGAATTTGGCCGATTCCTTATGGTTCAAAACCCTCAAATTTGAACTTGAAATCTTTTTGGTTTTCTTGGAAAGTATAATCGGAATTTGGCTGATTCCTTATGGTTCAAAACCCTCAAATTTGAACTTGAAATCTTTTTGGGTTTCTTGGAAAGTATAATCGGAATTAGGCCGATTCCTCATGGTTCGAAACCTTCAAATCTGAACTTAGAATAATTATTCTTGGAGATACCGTTGGAGCTCTTATTCGGTCCCCTTTCACCCGGAAGAAAAGGAGTGTGCCCTTAGACAGGTACATCTATGCAAGTCAAAATATAACACGTGGAACAAGGAGTTGTAATGAAAAATGTTTTGCGCGCAACAAAGCATTCACCAGAAAGTTATATTTTGGACAACATTTTTGACATATATGTAATGTTGAGGGAGAATTTAGTTTTGAAGGTTTTTGTTAATTTGACTCGAATCAAATCTTAATGCATTATTTTTAATGTTTGTTTTTAAATACAAATTCGGGGACTTAGAATCAATTTCTCTTAGAGATTTAGGCCACTTAGTAATATATAACTTTATTTGATGACATGTATATGAGTTAAAAATCTTCCATATGATTTTGATTTTGATTTGCAAACAAGAATATACAACCAATTTCAAATTGGTAATTACCAAACAATTGAATACAATAGAGAAAATAATTTTGCTACTTTTGACGTATAAATATAAATACTTGATGGTAAAACATTTATTCAATTTACTTTTGAAGAAATTCAATCGTAAAGTTTCAATTTGATCAAACACAGTCAAGAGATTAATGAAATTGCTAAAGTTAAAGCTGTAATGCAATAATAAAAGAAAATGGGCTTTTCGACATGCATAGGACAATTAGAAATATTTATTATAGATTTGGTGCCAAAGAAAAAAGTACTTCCGTAGATAGAGTAAATCGACAATGACGTAGCCGATATAATATAAGAAATCGACATTTCTATAATCGATTTTTTAAAATAATTTTAAAAAAAAATCATGGTAAATTAACAATACAATCGTCAATTTGTTAAAAAAAATATTTTTTTTTCTTGACGAATAGAAAATGGATAATATGTCAATTGAAGTAGACAATATACCATTCTCTACTTTCCTTTTTTATTTTTATTTTGACTATAGATGATTGTATTGTCGATTTACCATGTTCAAACTAAATTGTGGGGTATTTTGACTTGGTCCACCAATTTACTTGATCAAATATTTGTCATATAAAACAATTATTCACCATCATCTCATACAGTTTTATTTCAGAAGAATGAGTTATATCTTAGAGAGAATTTTGCGCTATTGAAAATAACATTGTGAATCAAATAGCTTTCAGAGCAGTATCATCACGGGATTCATATTACCAACCAATATTATTGACAAATGAAAAAAAAATGTCCAAATTAGGTGTGGAATCGATTATCCATGAGTTTTGAACATTGAAGCAAGGGCAGCTTGTAACTTAATATTCTTGGATGAAAGGAACTCGTGTTATTGTTAATATATTAGCACCAATCAAGAATAAGTCATGCAGTGATGCTAACAGTTATTCTGATCATGTACAAGGATTTTTTTTTAAAAATTTTTTGACAAAGGAAGTGACTCTAATAGCCAATTAAACTAAAATCTCAAAATGTCAGAATTGAGCAATATTCAACTAGGGAAGCGGGGAAGAGAAGGATCCGAGTCCGACTTATATTTTATATTTAATTAATGTCTCACTGAAATTATATCTAATGATAACGAATATATTAAAAAGAATAGGTTACAGAATTCTTCTTAACCTTTTCAGACTTGCAATAGAAAAAGGGTCTTTACAGCCTTAGAGAACCGTTCAGTCTTTGACAGCTTTAGAGAACCTTTTGTGTCATGCATATCAGTATATATATACTACCACTCCCAAACTCTTCTCCAATCCATCCTTGTTTCGAATCTTAAGTGTTTCAAGATATTAACTGAACAAGAAAATGGCATCGGAGAAAGAGGTTGAAACTGTAATAGTTGGGAACTATGAGGAAATGGAAACTGAAGGGAAGCCTAAGGATATTAAATCCAGGGTATTAAGCTTGTTGTGGCATGGTGGTTCTGTTTATGATGCTTGGTTTAGCTGTGCTTCCAACCAGGTTGGTTTCTGAAATATATTAATAGCTTGTTAGGTTGATATACTATAATATTAATAGCTTATGCTCCATTCTATATATGGCATTAATTCGATCTTTACATGTTTTCTAATTAATGTTTATTTTTATATATACATGTCAGGTGGCTCAAGTTCTGCTTACGTTGCCATACTCATTTTCCCAACTGGGACTGCTCTCTGGAACCCTTTTTCAACTCTTCTACTGCTTGCTCGGTGGCTGGACGGCTTACCTCATTAGCGCACTCTACGTTGAATACAGAACCAGAAAAGAGAGAGAGAAATTTAACTTCAGGAACCATGTCATCCAGGTTCATTACTTCTTCTTTTGTCTTTGCTACTAATTATAATGTGTCTGTTTTAACACAACTTAAGCATTGCAGTGGTTTGAGGTTCTTGATGGGCTCCTGGGGAAGCACTGGAGAAACGTGGGTTTGGCCTTCAACTGCACATTTCTCCTATTTGGATCTGTTATCCAACTCATTGCTTGTGCAAGGTATCATCTAACTCTATTCATTGTTAAGTTACGTTTAATTTTCATTGCACTATTTCTATATATATTTCTGTTTTTATTTATTTTTTTATTTTTATAAATAAAACATCTGTGTGCTGCAACTTAGGAACATGGTTATCTTTTGTGCAGCAACATATATTACATAAATGATAATTTGGATAAGAGGACTTGGACTTACATCTTTGGAGCATGTTGTGCCACCACTGTATTTATCCCTTCCTTCCACAACTACAGAATCTGGTCCTTTCTTGGCCTCCTCATGACCACTTACACTGCTTGGTACCTCACTGTAGCCTCTCTCCTTCACGGCCAGGTAATAATTATACTTTTATTATTATGTTATTCCTACTCTATATATAAATGAATCATTATATTTATTAGTGGTTACTATAATAATAATATGCGATATATCATGATGTGTAGGTGGAAGGGGTTAAGCATTCGGGTCCGACCAAATTGGTTCTATATTTTACAGGGGCCACAAACATTCTCTACACATTTGGGGGACATGCCGTTACTGTGTAAGCCTGATATATCATATACCATTCGTATCTTTTACGTTTTCCCAAAGCTTGTTTCTTTCCCACTTCTTGGATTTTGGCTTCGTTAGGACGCTTCTGTGGTAAATTTGCTAATGGGATAATTCTTTATATATTTACACTCAAATTGATTTTTTTAATTGTTAATTACCTAATCGTATGCTTTATGCAACTAGTATTTCTTACTTATGAATGCATAACTGGAATTGGGGTTAAAATGTCTTATCGTTTATATTCAATATTGACTTTTTAAATACGAACTGTGCATGTATGTAGCCGAAGACCATCTCAAGTCCTTTTCCCATTGATTTTGCTTTTTCTTTTTTCGCTTTAAGACGAGAATCGTAAACTTTTTCATGTTCGGTTAGATTAGAGTATCAAAATTCTGATGCGGACGATTTTTCAAATATTCTATATTATTTTTTTCGAAAAAAGAAAAACCCCTGTTACGCATGCATGCAAAAAAAGTCCTTTTTCTGGGGGAATACTTGAGTACTTTTTGGTTGTAGAAAGCCACGGTTCTGTCTCTAAATGGATCAGCTTTAATGCTTTTTTATCATGAGGACAGGAGAATTCCAGCTTTCCTTGGTGAAACTTTCATATTTTTCCATAGCACACAGATGGTGAAAAGTAATTACAATAGTAAATAATATGATTAAATAAAAAAAATTAAATATGTCAAAACATTGAAATTTTTTTTTCCTTTTTATTAACAGTATTATAAAATTAGAGATTAAAGTAATTAGCAATTATTATTTATTAGTAAGGAAACTGGTTTATTGATAATTCTTTGATGTCTCTGTAGTGCCTCCTTGTATTAAGGTAAGGGTTAGAGTAGACATTTGCTGCTGCTGAATAAATTATTTTTGGCAGTATAAAAAAAAAAAAAAGCTGAGTTAAACTTGAATAATTTTAGAAAGTTGTTTAGAAGTTTTTGAGAATAGAGTGAATGAAAAGACGTATGTTGGTGGCAGGGAGATAATGCACGCGATGTGGAAGCCTCAAAAGTTCAAGTCCATATACTTACTGGCTACCCTGTATGTGTTGACATTGACACTTCCATCGGCATCTGCAGTATACTGGGCATTTGGAGACATGCTTCTAAATCACTCGAACGCTTTTTCTCTCCTTCCAAGGTCACCCTTCCGTGACATGGCTGTCATTTTAATGCTCATCCACCAGTTTATAACATTTGGGTTTGCATGCACGCCACTGTATTTGGTGTGGGAGAAAGCAATAGGAATACACGAGTGTAGGAGCGTGTGCAAGCGTGCTTTGGCCAGGTTGCCAGTGGTGATCCCCATTTGGTTTTTGGCCATTGTTTTCCCCTTCTTTGGCCCAATCAACTCCACCGTTGGATCTCTCCTTGTCAGCTTCACCGTTTACATCATCCCCGCCCTCGCACACATGTTCACCTTCAAATCACCCGCTGCCCGACAGGTATATATACTCTATCTAACAATTTCCATAACACAAACCATGCATGCATTCATTTGATCCATTAATTATTGCAATGCAGAATGCGGTGGAGCAACCTCCCAACTTCGTGGGAAGATGGGTGGGTGCCTACACGATCAACCTATTTGTCGTCGTCTGGATCCTGGTTGTAGGATTTGGATTCGGTGGATGGGCTAGTATGGTCAACTTTGTACACCAGATTGACACATTCGGTTTCTTCACCAAATGTTATCAGTGCCCCGCACCACACCTCAACGCCACTGCACCTTTTCCTCCTCCTCACTAACGCTACATCAGACTTCAATGAATTCACCAATCATCAATCCATTCAATTTCATGGAGAAAAAGATAGATCATAGTTTACTCATCATATACTTCTTCATTCACCATCTATTGCTTTCTATGGTATATATATAGCTAGCTAGCTAGCTGATCACTTTTGTCAGGGTGAGTTTCATGGACAAAATTGGAAGGGAATTAAAAAACACAAACAGTTGCATCAAGGTTGTTTCTAGCAATTTCCTAGACCAATCGACTACTGGGGAACATACTTTGAGTTGCGCAATATTATGAATATGCACCTTGTTCAACCGTTACATCCCTTCTAATTGCAACTAAATGTTTTCTTCTCTTCGATCCCGAGATTTTATTATTGTTCTTCTCTTCATATTATATCCAAGTGAAGCATCTTGCAAGAAAACCTTCATTGTTTGCATTTGTAAATTCAAAATCAAATGATCGATAGATGCTGGTAATTAATTAAGGAACTTATACATTAATATATTGCTAAGTTTCACTCACTCTTTCCATGAATATTCCTAGTCCTAACAGAGAGAGCTGAGTTGATGAAGTTAAAGGAGGACAATCAGACCAAACAGTTAAAGAACAAAGACAAATTATTGAGTGGCGAATTTGGTCTTTAAACCAATAGTTTTAAGTCTTGATCTCTAATAAAACATGAAAAAAAAATAATAATAATAACAGGCGGGGCATTGGGCCTTAGACAAAGGCTAGCGCAATGAACAATATAATTGCGATCTATCATATGTTAATTATAAGAGTTTAGGATTTAGGATTGGGAAGTGTGTTAAAAAATTAGTTGAGTTTAATTTAGTTGGGGTTGAAAAAAAGAACTTTGCTTATAAACTTTTACTTTTTTTTTTTTTTTCTTTTTTTTTTTTGCATTGGAACGCGTATTTTTTATTGAACATAATTTTAAACTAAGTATCTAAACATATATAAAGTCGACTAAACTAACATTTTATGAGAACTTTGAATCTCAGGTACAAGGTACAACTTTTTTGTATTGCACTATTGCGTGCATGCAAATAGAAACGAACAAGTTTTAACTATAATGTACACATCAATTTATAATATAATAGTCAAACTATTATGTATCACAATGATGCCTCATTTTAAAATAAACCTTAGCTATTGTTATGTCAGGGAAAATGATGATTTGTTATTCAATAATATCTTTCTTATTCTACAATATATTTATTTGTGTAAATTTATTCACAAATTCACTTTCGAAACCTAGTTATAAATTCACTTTCTAGTATTGTTCTTTCCTCTTTTTCTCACCAAATTGATCGACACCTCATCACTATCATTGTCAAACTCCACATTTTCCTTGATAACTATTTCTCTTTTCTTTGTAAGTTACTATTATTATTATTATTATTATTATTATTATTATTATTATTATTATTATTATTATTATTATTATTGTATTTTCTCTGTTTCAGATTTTGAAAGGAAAAATAGAATATGTAGATTAATGTGAGGGAGGCTTTGAACACTAATTCGATGAGGAAATGTTCATTAGTTGATCCTAAAGTCTTATTGATGGGATAAAAGGTCACCCGCTTTTATCCTAATTTATTCTTGCACTTTCGATTTTACAAATGACTTATTCTTAAATGTCTTTTTAACTTATTATATGGATGTGATAACATCGTATATGGTATTTTTGGTGGATAAGGCAACTCTTGCACTATGATATTTGCACAAATCTCTCATAGAACTAGATTATACATTGTTGATAGGTAAGGTAACACTATGAACTTTGATGGATGAAGCAACACTACACTACAAGATCTCGCATAGGATTGAACAACAGACTTTAGGGGAATTATGCAACTAACTACGAGCTTGGGGAGAATTATGAACTTTTTCTTCATTTTTAAAAATTTTCTCCATTATTTTATGTATGTTTTTTTGTTTACAAGAGTTTTAGAATTACTTTTTCAAACAGTTTTTAAAATTATTTAAGTTGTGCTTTAGGATCTCCATATTTTTCTTCATATATTTTTAATTGAAAAAAACAAAAATATTTTGAATGTCATTGCCTTCTATTGTAATTATTGTTAGTATTCATTCCTTCTCATTTTTAATTTGTAATTTTGCTTTTATTTTTCCATAATTTAGATACCTATTTATAATTATGAATGACTTTTCAAATTTTTTCATTTTGGATTATATTATTTATGTGGTATGAATATCATAGATTACAATGCATTCCGTGTGGTTGATTGGTTCATGGTCAACTATAGTGATCCATGTTGCTATATTCAATTGTTATCTCTTATATCTCTTCATTCCAATTATAAACTATATTTTAGTTTTCAGTCTATCTAATATCTATTGCCACTACTAGAATTTCCCTTATTACATGTGACTTTTTCTGCGAATTTTTCATAAAAATTCGCAGGAAACTTTGTTCCTGTAAAATTTTCTGCGAAATTTTATCTGCAGGTAATACCTTTGTGGATAATATTTTTTGTGCAAATTTTAAAATTCGCAGGAAATTTTCCTGCGAAATTTCTTGCGAAAAAAATTCGCAGGAAAGTTTCCTGCGAATTTTTTCGCAAGAAATTTTGTTGGAATATTTTTTACAAAAAAATTAACAACAAAATTAAAGAAATTACTATAAATTCTATCAATAATTTTTTAACTTTCAAACGCTCATAATGAATTCATCCGAAGCATTTATTTCCATGCCTCCAACATGTGATACATAATCTTTTAAATTCTAAGATTGTATTATAACCTTAACACTCAACCATATAAATAAACTTGTAAGGTAAGTGTTGCCCCCAACTTATATACTCTTTAATTGCTTTATTTTCAATCGATGTGGGACTTAAAGTTTTTTTAAAATATTAAACTTATAAATTTAAATATATTTTTTTTATTTTTCCTGCGGATTAAAATTTGCAGGAAAATCTGCAGAAAAAAGTTACCTGCAAAATTTTTCTACCATTTAGTAAACATTACTTGGAAATTTATTTTTGCAAGAAACAAAATAAAATTCTTACAATATTTTCTGCAAATTTTTACCATGGAAAAAATTTCTATGATTATTAAAATTGTAGCAAAATTTGTAAGAAATATCTGTAAATTATTTTTTGCTAATAAATTCGCAAAAAATTTTCGCGAATATTTTTTTCAGAAAAATTTGCAAGAAAATGACACTTTTCTAGTAGTGTGTCATTTTCTTCTCTTTTAATTTCTTCTAAACTTTTTTTCACTAAGTAAGAAATGTGTAATGCTAAAAAGAGAGTGGATGAGACATTGCAATAAGTCATGAGAAAGAATTATAAAAAATAAAATGTCAAGTTATCAATAAATAAATTATTTAGTTTTTCCTTATTTACTAAATTAAATTATAATCAATATCTCTTAATTACAAATTAATCATCAATAATAACTACTAATTATTATGTTTCATTATGACATAATAACTATCTAAATTAATTGTTGTTAATTAAGCATTTATTATAAACTAATTTTAAAATATCAATTACTCAAAATATAACGTGTCATGCTCCCTATACTTGTAACTACAGGCCCAAAAAAAAAGGACATAAATATAATATTTATTGAGTTAATTTTCTAATAATTGACATATCAATCAAATTGAATTTCTTAATTACAAGTTAATTATCAATATATTTATAAAAAATACAAATTAATTATTAATATATAACTACTAATTTTAAAAATTTTAAATTATTAGTTACTAATAACAAATTATAGCAACATTATCTCTTAATACACCTAAGTAATCTAAGTGACTTAACCCTACCGAATTAATCTTGATCGCTTTCACCCCATATGCACTTGCTGGATCCACAATTAAAATGAGATATCAATCTCTCCTCTGATTTCTCCGGTGTCACCACTTATACTAAGAAAGTTCAGTTCCACCGCTAGGACTAGTATAGATGGATATAGGCATATGACGACTTTGACATGCATTATCAAATTACATATGGAGTTATCCCACTAATTATCCTCAAAGAACCACACAATATTTCCAACAATCATTTAAGGATTGTAGCCCTCGAGCTCATACTTTACTCCACATTGATTAAGGACTTAGAGAAAACTTAACAAAATTTACTCCAAGAATTACACACCTACTGAGGGAGGGTTTTTCAATAATTGACCTCCTAGAGCACCAAAAGAAGATATGGGATCTTCAACTTTTAAAACATCATCATCTCCTCTAATTTTGAGTCAATCAACATGCTTTACTGCCTACAACATTCTCAACATACATCATCTATATACATTATCATAGACCAATGTATATAGAGATCAAGTCATACCAACATACTTAGCATACAAATGCTTATTAAGAGTTCAACCATATAAGAATAACATCCCAGTCATACATAACATATCAATGTTCATCACTAATTTCAATTATACGAGTATAGCCTATCAATACTTATCATCACCATTATAAATCATACAACATGCAATAGACACTAGTATTCTATTCATGTTTACCAAATTTTCCCATCATACAACATGTATCAACATACATCTTGTCAAAATCAATTATTGTACAATGACAACTTCCACATAAAATATTACACAGAGAGTTATATTACTCTTATCAAACTCATCCTTATCTCATATGAAAGACAATAAGTTTATCTACAACTCTTATGAAGACCTCAAATTTTAATTCCATCATCTACTATATTAAAAATTATAAAAATCACAATATTTTGGACTAATGTTGATAACTTGACCTTTGTTTACTAAAAAGGTCAAATCTTGAATTTTAGACCTCCTTTGTAGGTTATTCCAAAGTCATTGGAAAGCTAACATTTAGAAATGTATATATTTAAAAAAAAATATTTGTGACAGTTTGAAAATCATCTGAAGCAAATAAAATAATATTAAATTTGGATTTTCCATAGGGATGACAAAGTGGGTTGTGTCTCGCGGGCCAGCCCGTTGGCCCGCCAAAAATTGGCAGGGCGGGTCCATCATTTCAATCCATCAACCTGCCAAGCCCGCTAACCTGCCGGGCTAAATAGCGGGTCAGCCCGCCACAACCTGCCAGCCCGTATATATATATATTTATTTATTTTTATGTTTATTTTATTTTGATGTAAAAGATGAGGATGAAGATGATCAAGAAAAAAAGTAGAGACAACTTCTTCCAAGAGAGCTTCTAATATTCTTAAAATAAAAATTCAAAGTTAATTAATTGTGTTTGAACTTGTTTTGTGGACTATCAAAAAATTTAGTTTACAAGTAATTTGTAAGTTTATAATTTGGTTTTGATTTTGGTGTAAGTGGACTAATTTCTATTTGATTTTGTTTTAAGTTTGTAATTTACTTTTGTTGAACATATATTATGTACAATATATATGCATTTTTAATTTCATATAGTTATATTTATTTATTTGTAGCAAAATTTTTTTATTTGAACATAAAATATATTTTTTTTTACATTTTTTTTATTTTTTTTGTATGCGGGCTGGCCTGCCAACCTTCTAGCCTGTCCTTAAGCAGGGCGGGCCAGTATATCCAGTCCATTTTACATTGGTGGGCCGGGCCTGGCAGGTCAAGGCCGGGCTAGCCTGTTTTGCCTTCCCTATTTTCCCATGGCTCCAACCAGAGAAAAAAAAAATTATTTAGAAGAAGAATCAATAAATGGTGTTCATGCTGTGAATGAATGAAGCAGGAAGGCGATGTAACTCTCCACCTCCGGACCTCGGACATCTCATTTACTGCTTTCATGTAAAGTTCAAACCTCTCAAAATTGATAATGTATAACTAATTTAGGCTAGGGGTAATGACTTTCCCTGACCAAATCATTATCTTTCCAAATTAAGTACGTTGTAATTAAATGTAACTATTATTTAAATTATTTAATTCAAAGAGTATTTTAAAAATAAAAATTAAATTTATGATATTACTATTAAATTTAATTATATTTATTATGTTGATTAACTAATTATTTGTTTATTCATAACAGTAGAATCATTTTATTTTTTAGAAAAAAACTTTTATTAAATAATTAAATATTATATTTCTATTATAAATGAAATTTTTTATTAAATAATTCTACATTATACATTTTTTCTCAAAGTTATATTACCTTTGATCTTAAGAAATTGCATTTTTTAATTTCAATTATAAATAATAATTATAAGTTTTAAAATTCATTCAGAATTAAATTTTTTTATACTGGTTGTTTATTGTTAATTTTATTTTTATGTATTTATTTATAATTAAAATTAAATATAACATCTACTGAAATAAAAAATATATTTAATTAAATTATCTTCTTAAATTGTGTTATTTTATTTATAGTTAATACTATATTATTATAAAAGAAAAAAACATAAGCAGGAAGCAGAGTAGCAATAGATTGAATGTTTGAATGATTTTTATAGGGTTAAAAATGAGGGATGTGGATGTAGCAGGGAGGGAGAATCTGAAGCGTTGGAATTAAAAAAGTAAAGGAAGAAAAAAGGAGAGGCGTTAGATGAGAAGTGAGAGTGAAAGTGAAAGGAAGAGGTAAAAAAAGACTAGTATAAGAATAGAAGGTGCAGAGTTTAGCCCTAGACTCGAGTAGAGAGCAGTGACATAGAGAGATCTGATCCAAACTCCAAAGGTAGAGATGAGTGAGAGTGAGAAGCAGAGGGTAACCGGCAAGGTCAAGTGGTTCAATGACCAGAAGGGCTTCGGCTTCATAACCACCGACGACGGCGGCGAGGATCTCTTCGTCCACCAGTCCTCCATCCGATCCGACGGTTTCCGCAGCCTCGCCCTCGGTGAGTCCGTCGAGTTCGTTATCGACTCCGATCCGGAAGGCCGCACCAAGGCGGTCGATGTCACCGGTCCTGACGAGACGCCAGTCCAGGGCACCCGCGGCGGCGGCGGCGGAGGAGGAGGAGGAGGAGCAAGAGGTGGATACGGCGGCGGTGGAGGAGGAGGAAGAGGCTACGGCGGAGGCCGCGGCGGGAGAGGTGGCTACGGAGGCGGAGGTGGAGGCGGAGGCGGATATGGAGGTGGTGGCTACGGAGGCGGTGGATACGGAGGTGGCTGCTACAAGTGTGGTGAGACTGGTCACATAGCTAGGGACTGCAGCCAAGGTGGCGGCGGCGGCGGTGGAAGGTACGGCGGAGGTGGTGGAGGAGGCGGCGGGAGCTGCTACAACTGTGGGGAGTCCGGGCATTTTGCGAGGGACTGCCCTTCGAATGCTCGTTGATATAGTGGTCGTAAATGGGTGGGGCCTTGCATTTGTGTTTTTGTGCTTTTTAATTTTAATTTTAATTTTAATTTTAATTTTAATTTGAGGATTCTGGTTTAGAAACAGGGTTAGCTAGGGTGTGGCTTCCTTGCGTTTTTTGTTTTTACATTACAAGCGTTTATTGGATTGTCTTTCGGGGTTTAGGGATAGGAGGGGTTTGCCCATGTTCTCAACATCATCCATTGGCTTAATATACTCTCTTTCCTCCTGTTAAATACGCATCCTGAATCTTCTCTGCCTTATTGTTTCAAATCTTAAATGCTTGCTCTGCTCTTTGGAAATGTAGATTTCATGTTTCTTATTGCTACTTGAGTCAACATGAGATCCTCAAACACAATTTCTTTTACTTCATCTATACATGCCTCCCTGCTTTCATCTAACGCCTTAAATACTATTCATTATCACTACAAAGATTGAAAGAGGGCTTTTGCATTCATTTTGCCTTTACTAGCATCAAATGTTTTCCTCAAACCATTAAGAATGTTTAATTATTGAACTATAGCAATAGCATGACCAAAAACTGAGATTCTTTCCAGGTTTGTTGATTTCATACATAAATTGGCATTCAGATAGTTGTGTACTCTATATATCGATTAGGAAATATTGATTTGACGCCGGTTTTTGTCTGTTGCTGATATTTGTCATTACTGGTTAGGCAAGGACTCATTAGATACCCAGCAACATTTGATTTTGGTCATCCAAATGATTATTCTTGCATGCCTACCAAGATACTGTGAGTGTTATTATCTGATTTAGACCCAATGTATGCGCCTGCTTCATCTAACGGCCTAAATAGGATTTATTTTCAAAGTAATTGGAACGGGAATTAATTATACTGTGTTTTTGAATTGATTTGTCTTCACTTCTTGCTTTTTTACCAGATCACTGTTTACCTTTGCAGGAATGCTGGCTTGAATATTATTTTTTCTGTAAAATATTTTTTTAACCCGTTTTGAATATATATCTTTTGAATTATATTAGCTGAATATATATCTTTAATCTTATATAACTATAGAAGCAAAATAAAAATAGTTAAATTAGTTTTAAATAATGATGAGATAATTTATTTTATTTCAAATATACTAATAGAATTAAATGAGTAACATACTTATATTTATCACACTTTTCATAAATATTTTCAATTAATGTGTATGTTTTATAATGTTAGTAGTTTAATAAATGTATTTATTATTATAAAAATGAGTGGATGATTCATTAATAATAAACTTGAAATAATATAGGGTGAGTGCATCGTTTATGTTTAGTTTTTTAATGAATTGCTGATTTACTAACAACCCACTGATTTTTAGGTGTTTCATCGTGATGACCAGATACTAGGAGTGTTAATGGTTCGGTTCTTTGAAAAATTCAAACCGAATCGAATCGAATTATTTTATAAAAATAATCGGTTAATCGATCTATTTTTTACAAAGTGGATCAATTTTTTTGAAATTAGATCGGTTCGGTGCAGTGCAGTTATCTATTTTTTACTCATATATGGATCGTTTTTTTCTTTCTAAAACCAAATCAAACTGAATCAATTTATTTTGTAAAAATGGATTAGATAATTGAACCGGTTTTATAAAATGGATCTATTCGGATTTTTTTTCAAAATGAATCAGATTTTTTAATATGGATCGGATCGGTTATGGATCAATTTGAATTTTTCACACACTCCTAAGTGAGATGAGAATACTAATAACAAACCACCACTTGAAATGAATAAAATTTGATTCAATTCTCTAATAATTATATAAATATAATAAGAGTAAAATGATTATATAAATATATGCAATATAGATACAATAATTTAGTAAAAATAAATTATACAACTTATACAATCAAATAACTCGTATACAAACTACTACATTGTAGTAGCACCAAAACAAATAAACAACATTGTCATCCTCTTGATAGTCACCTCAATACAACACCTCGCATTTATCCCTAAACCCTCACTCCAAAAACATTTCACGTATGATCATCGCAATCCAAACCACATGAAAACATATAAGGATAAGTTATGTTCAAAGAAACAATATATACAAGAAATATGTACAACAAAGTATCATATCAAATCTCATATTTTACGGCATCAACATTTTCAACACATTCAACTTTATCAACTATAACACAAAAGTCAACTTAAACAACATAACATTAACAACTTAGTTATCAACACATCAACATACTTTATCACAAATTAATACTGCATATGAACAATACAACTAAATCAACACATATGCATAACACAACTGTATGCATCTTTTCGCATTTTAATTAGGAGATCTCTTACAATACAGGGTAAGCAGTTTAAGTTGCTTGACATTATCGAACCAACAATATAGGATAATCTTTTTAGACTTGTTAAATCAACAACAAATTGAATATCAACCCACAATACAACAACTTGAATTCTCGAATATCGTTACTTAAACTAAAAAGTCTAATGCTACTGTTACGGTAAAATAATTTGTGTATGAGCCTATCACGATATTAGCTAGTTTAATAACAAAGTCTTCTATGGAATTAGTCTAGTGACTACTCTTCAAATACTACACTCTTTTGGTATTAAATTGGGAATAAAGTTTCTAATTTTGTACTTTACTTAGTTGATCATATAAATTATATTTTAATTTAAGATAAATAACTTATATTATTTTTTTTGGTATATGAATAATTTATATTGATATAAAGTTATTTTAATTATTAATATTTTTTATAAAAATATAAATAAAAAAAAATAATTTTGAAATAAAATTAACCATCATATATTAAAAATATACGAGATTAAGAAAAATATTTAAAAACATTGTCATTAAATTATCGCAAAACATACCTTTAAAGTTTAAACAGAATCATGAGCCATGTTAAGCTGTATTTAATTCAAACCTTTTAAAAAATTCCATAACAAATAAAATTGTCATGTTTTTGGCCTTACATATATTTTTTTTTATGTCTTGACAAGAATATCGTTAATGAGAAACATATATAGCTGAAGAAAACTTGGAAAATTGGAATTCAGTCATAAAATATCGTTAACTATGTGCGTGTTTGTATTGAATTCCAAACATGGATTTTCACGTTTGAGTAAAAGGAACAAATAATAGCTTCCATGTAAATAATAGCTTCTGTGTAAATTCATTGTTGAACGTGGAGAGAAAAAAAAATTACATTCTAAAATGAAATCCAAACACACGCTATGTCAGATTCACAGTTGGGTGTAGCTGCATCATCTTTGATCGTTCTGTTCTATTGATTAACATTCATCTCAGTGCTTCTAAATTACAGCAAATGTAGATTGTGATAATGGGTACTTGTTAATTGTGTTGGATTGACATCATCTTATGAGTTATGATCTTTACGCGAACTATATAACTTTAAAATTCAAGTTTTTTTTAACATTTATGAATGTTATTAAAAATCTTTAACATTGAGAAAATTCAGGTTATATTGGATATAGGCCTATTTTTGTAAGAATTGTATGACTCACAATTGATAAATAACTAGATTTTTTAAGCATGTTGTCAAGATTGAATTTCTGATCATTTAAATAAAGATTTTGTTAAGAAATACAAACTCTATTTCCGTATTTCGACAATTTATACGTCTCAAAAAATGTTAAGAATTGTATTTTGCAAAATATGCTAAAAAAAAAAATGAAGGCATCGGTGGTGCTGGGACCGCCAGAGAGTGCAGTTACATGGTTTTCTTGTGATTCGGTGTTGTCTTGTTCACTATTGCTAGTGCCATCGCTAGAACTTCATCGATTCTTTATGCGGGAGTCACTTTCATTTCAATGCAATGTAACTAAAGATGTTTGCATTCATGTATAAAAAAAGTAATACTTCTCTCTGACAAAGAATTTGTCATTCATTATTTATTACTGCATAGTTGAAAAAAGGTTCCTGAATAAGATTGCGTGTCAGTATCTGCTGTTTGTAGTTCGGCCATGTAAGAAGGATTTCAAACAAAGTAAGGACAAATTGGTTCACATGTCACCCGAGTTCAAATAATGTTCATCAAAATTGAGGCTTTTTTATTTTTATTTTTATCTTTAATAGGAACAAATAGTATTTGATCATTATATACTAAAATAGATTTTCTTAATTTGTTTTTATTTGGATCTTCGGTTTGAAAATATGTTTTATTTCTAACTCTTTAACTTTGGAAATTAGTAGATAATTTTTTCGTTAGTCTTAATTGAACTATATAATTTTTTTTTCATTTTTATATATGCCTTATGCATACATGTAATGTGATTCTCTGGTACTATCTTCGATCTTCAAACTCCTAATTCCTATAGGTGGTCAAAAGAGATTGATACTTGTATAAAACACTGTAATACTCAAGTGAGTTTATATATGTTCAACATAGTAAATGTAAACATTAAATGAATATTAACTTTTACTTTAATATGTCACTAGCTATTTATATATGATTAGCAATTTGGTAACACATTCTTTATATTTTGAATAACCTTAAATAACATAGTATTATTGTGTATAATTGTATATAAAATATAATATAACCAATTCTCCATCTCAAGGGTTGTCGACATTCAAAGGAGGCTAAGGGTATTCTCTTCATGAATTGATATTGGATTCAATCTCATTTAGCAGTTTGAAGGTTTAAGTGGACACTCGCATCACCTTGTTTAGGGTCATCCACTTTTTCTTGTTTATGATACAAAGGGCCAAGCGGTCAAAAGAAACGAGATAAGATGTGTCTAAATACAACAAGTGAAGAATCAACTAATAAAGAGAAATGTAAAAAGTAAGGGGACAAAATGAATTTTTTGAAATTTACATCCATATCGACCAAAAGTTGCAAGAGCAAGGATGATAGGAATTAACTCCTACATTCAAGAAACAAATGACGGTCAAAGAATCACTTTCTATCTCCAAATTTGAGAACTTCCTTCTCATTACTAGTTTGATAGTATGATAAATAGTCTATAATTCAACTTGGATTATGGAGCATTACCTTAACTTTGTAGCCTATAATACAACTTGTTTGCCAAGTAACATCATTTGTCCCATGGTGGAGACCTAGGTCAGTCAAGTCACAATCGAGTCACGTGACACTTAGACTACTACGGTTAAGTAGAAAGAGTTGCAATATGACTATTGGCTATAGTTTTTGATCTAGTGGTAAGCATTCGATCCAACAATTGGTATTAGAGCTAAGGTCGCATGTTTGACTCCCAATAGGAGAAATTGTTGAGGGGAGATTGTTTGCCAACAGACATCAATTGTCTTGTGGTGGAGGCCTAGGTGGGTCAAGTCACAGTCGAGACATGTGGTGCTTAAGTTGTTACGGTTAAGTAGATAGAGTTACGCCTTGACTATCAATTATAATTTTTGGCCTAAGGTAAGCGCTTAATCCAACATGCACCATTTCTTCACTTCCAAATTTTGTTTAAAAGAAACTCAAAAAGTAATTGCCACCTTCGACTTTTCACATGATTTTTATCTAGATTAGATTGGAGCCACGTTGTAAAGTCCATAATCCAAAAATCATGATCTATGTAACGATGTTTGACTAAGATAAGATGTTACGAGGTGGAAAAGGAAGGACAATCTCTAAAAAAATGGGAGAGTTTCATTTTGTTGACCACATAGAGAGAACTAGTCATTTTGATTGATGTCAAGGTGGAATCTCCAATTGTTTGTGGGCAATGCCATATGAGTAGTTGTACAAAGGAAAAATTTAATCTTTTCTAAACTTGGCCAAGCCCATGCTATTTGGAAAACCTAAATTGGTTGAAGACCCCCAATGGTTTTCCCAAGACGAATAAGCATAAGCAAGACTAAAAAGGTCATTTGTTGTATGTTTCCAAACAATCAAATCATTTCCAGCATTTGAGTTAGGGGTAAGATAGAAAGAATATTATGTATAACAAGAGCTGGAAGCAAATAATGTAAATATGTGAAATTCCAAGAACCATCTATTGTAGTAATATCCACCACCTTCTTTTATAAATCAACATCATGAAGAGGTCTTACAACATAAGTTGACAACTTTCCAACGTTAAAAATCCATTCTTCAGTCCAAAATAAAATATTTTCACCACCACCTAATTTCTAATGGATAGATTCCATGAAATCATCCCAAATAGAGTTTATCCCTCTCCAACATATTGAAGCATTTCTTGGGATAGTCATGTGAGGAATAATATGATTCCCACACTAGTATTTACCTTTAAGAACTCTCACACAAAGTTTATCACTATTAATGCATAGTTTCCAAGCTAATTTTGCATATAGGCATCATTCACTCCCCTCGTATGTCTTATGTTAAGTCCCTCAAAATTTCTTGGCAAACAAATAGAATTCCACTCCTTTGAAGTTTTCTAGATCCCATATGGTCACCTCAAAGGAAGGACCTACTCAAAATTTTCAAATCATTGCTGTAACACTCCAAGTTTTCTAAAATTATTAAAAATGATGTTTTAATTAATTAAAGGGGTTGTATAAAATGTTTTAGAGGTTTTTAATAATTATGAATGTTTTTAATTAATAAAGAAGATTTGTGAAATTATTTTGTTATAGAAAATATTTGGAGAAAACATGTTTTAATTAATTATGTAATATTAAATGTATTTTGGAAAATATGTTTTTATATTTGAGGTACCGATATCAATGTTTAAGAAAAAGATATAATGAGAGAGAGAAATTGTGAATAAGTTATAATGTGAGTTGCTTATTAACGAACTGAGGTGTTTTTTTGATAGCTATGCCAAATGAATTAATATATGATAGGATGTGACATTAGGATTTAGCTAGGATTCCATTTTGTTAGTTTCTTTATATTTAAAACTTCATGTTAGATTTTGTTTTGTAATTATTGTGTTGAACATTTGTTTTAGTTCTTTGGGTAACATATTATAATGTGATATCTCTATCCAAAGAGATTTGTGAACCTTTTTTTAATCAATAAAGTTTATTTTCTATCTTCATTATTTTATACATCTATGTTAGTATGTGACGTAGAGGGTGTTACAATTGCAAATAATTCTAAGAATGCATTTAGATTGCATATCATAAGAGGAAATGACTGAAAGAACATGCTCTTAATCAATCTTTTAAGATATCTTGACTGTTGAGGGTACCAAGCCATCAACAAATTCATCTTTGTTAACTTATTTTTTTGTTTTTCAAACACTTTGGTGATCTCTCGGTATATGTTAAATAAAATAAATATAATATTTATGACTAGTGCATGAAAATAATCTTATGATATATATATATATATATATATATATATTTATATATATATGTATATATATATATATATATATGTATGTATGTATGTTGATGTGGGTGTGTTTATTTTATTTGCATCTCTAATATTTTTCTATGGGTACAAAGTATAAATTTTTTTTAGAAATTAAACTTTGATTTGCAATACGTGGTTAATATTTTTAAACATTAGTTAATAGTTCTATCCCCAAATGTGTATGTATAAACTTGTTGAGAGTTGAATCTTTTAAGTAAATCACAGCATCTAAAAAAAAAGAAATGCTCAACTTTTTGATTGGATTCACCAAAGAAATTGGAGTTATGCATTCCATATGATTGAAAGTTGTAAGCAATGTTGTTGTTTCAATATTTGAAGTTTAGAACTATTTTTTTTGTTTGTCAATTAATATAAAAACATGAATCCAATCTAAGTCTAGCTAGAGTCTAAAGGCATATTTGACGAGTTGGAAGTAACATGTTGTGTATTAGTAATTTGAAAGGAAGGCAGTGATGTGTTGGGAAATAGGTGGGTTAAGAGTACAGAGAACTGAGAGAAGATTGAGAAAAAGTTTTGTATAGAGAATAGGACGTAAAAAAGAAGAGGAGGCTAGATTAATTTGAAAAGGGCGAGGAGCCTGCAAGATTGCTAATTAAACATATATACAGTGATGATGAAGTGCAGGCAGGGAGGGAGGGATCAGCGGAATCCTCTTCCTCTTGATTGGTAGAGTTCGAGCCTACTCTTGGCTTCGGGCAAAAGAGCTTCGATGCGAGAATCATCGATGAGATGCGCTTGCTTGGTGCACCACTCGAGAACTATGAGGACCTCTTCTTGCGCCAGCGTCTCGCTCTTTGGCACGTGCAACGCAATGTAACAGAGGAGAGTGACGGAGGGAATCTGAACCATCTGCTCTCCAAAGTAAACAAGCTGAATCAAGTGCTTGGCACCCCCTGCCTGAATGATGGCGTTGCAGTGGTTCTCGTGGAGGTAGTTATCCGTGCAGGCGAACTTGTTAAGAGCGATGGCCACCTCCATGCAGATATGGGCCTCTCTTTCGTCCAGGAGCTTCACCAGAGGCCCAATCAGCCGAGTCTCCGTGGCCCTGAAAGTGCGGGCAAGGTTTCCAACGGATCTCACGCAAGGTATCAGAAGCTCTTGCTCTTCTTTTTCGATTATTTTTATAAGCTGCTCCACCACCGCCTTGGCAGCGGGGGAAGTTGGTTTGAAAGCAGACCGCCTCAACTCAGCGTGCTGCTCTGACACCGCCGTTATCTCCATCAAAGCCATCGCCGAATACGACTGCACGTCCTCTGCACCTTTCTCCAACAGAACCGCGAAACAGAGCAAAGCACGAGACTCCGTTATGCTGCGACACACCGTTAAGTTACCCCTGGAGAGCATCCAGAGCGCCCTCGCAGCCATGGCCTTCATCTCCCTCTTCGTCACCGGGTCTTCGAATTCCCTCCCCTTGATACTCGTGCCGGCAATAGACACGTGGGCATTATGATTGTGGTGCTTTTTGGGGTTCCCGGAGGGGAGGTCGTTAACGTTGGGATTGATTTGGGCTTGGGCTTGGGCTTGGGCTTGGGCCTGGGCACCCATTCCCTTGATGGCCATGGTGTTGGAAACGATATTGGACATTTGGCTGGAGGCCTGGTTGCCCATGGGGTGAACAATCTGCTTATTGTCATCTTCTTCGTCGTGGGGGGTGGAAGTGTTGCTGGCAAGAACAACAGAGTGAATGGACTTGTGTTTGTTGGCAATGGCGTACTTGCTGTGTTCTTGGATGGTTTCGAAGGCCAGGTGGCTAACAAGCAAGCGAATGGCATTGTTTTGAGCGAAATGGTCCTGGCATTTGGGGTGGTTACCAGCGAGTTCGGAGATGGCCCAGGCGACCACGGTCTGGACCTTCATGTGCCCTTCTTTAAGGACTTTGGCGAAGACGGAGCAAACGCCGGCGTTGACGATGTGTTCGACGCTCTCGGGGTCTTTACCGAGGAGGCCAATGGCTCGGGCGGCGTTTTCCTGGCCGTCCATTCGACCTTCCTTCAGGAGCTTCAGGAGAGGGGGGACGCCACCTTCCTCGATGATGAGCTTGCCGTAGCGGTCGTTGTCGCGGGCCAGGGAGACTAGGGAGGCGGCGGCGTCGGAGCGCTCTTCCAGGGAGGCACCGGAGAGGAGGATGGCCACCTGCTCCCAGATGAGGCAGAGGATGGGTTCGTTGGCGGCGATGGGGGGGAGGCCGAGGTACTCGTCGTCGCGCTCGTCGGCGGAGGCGGAGACGCGGAGGAGCCACTGGACGTCGCCGACGGAGTTCTCGAGCTGCATGGAGGTCTTGCGGAAGGCGGTGGCGGGGATGATGGTGAAGAGCTTCTTGATGAGGCTGTTGGCGCGACATTTGGTGACGAGTACGAGGGCCTTGTCGAGGACCTGTTCGGTGTCGTCTATGATGCGTCGCGTTGGCCTCTCGTACAGGTCGCTGCTGTTCCTGGCCGCCTGGCGGAGGAGGCCGGCGAGCTTCTCCGTCTTTGACTTCAACTCGAGACATTCCTGTCGAAAATTCTGGGCCTCTTCTGCCATCTTGGAGACCTGGTCCGCCATTTGTATGGGGCTGGCCAGGATCTCCTTGACGATGCTCGACATTTTTGCACCCTTCCCTCTCTCTCTCTCACAATTCTCTTTCTTTGCTTTCTTCCATCGGAGTGGCGCCGCCGTGGCCCTATGAGGGATTGGTTTAACGCCTTTTTCTCCCTATTACTTAACCCATCCTCACATAATAAATAATACATATACTTCCTTCCTCCAAATGGTTGGTCTCTATCTATTATCTATACCTTTCTTCTTCTTCGATCACCGATTCTCTCCCATCCTACGCCCTCCTTTTCACTTTTACTTTTTACTTTAATTCATATACTCTTCTAATATTAGTTCAAATAATATTTTTAGCTTTTTAATTAACTCTATCTTCACTTTCTCTTAAATAGCAACTTTACATCTTTCAATTTACTATATAAATTATAATTAAAATTATTCATTCTATTATTTACCCTAAAATATTATTATATTATTATTGTCATCGACCATTCAGTATTTTTTTTTTCACCCTAATTATTTTCCTCTCTTAAATCATTCAATTAATTAATATTTTAATTAATTACCGTTAAATTAAAATAAACCAAATTCTCATTTATTTTTTCACACCAAATTCATATTCTCATTAATGCTAATCATAATGATAAATTTTATGTAAATATAATTATACCGAAATAAACGTTATGTCTTATTTATTATGAGAAATCTTTTTTTCTCTTTTGTGTTACGAGGAATCTTTTTACATTATTATTTATAATTATTCAACCACTTATTCAATTTAAGAAACTATGCATATTATAAATGAAAAGAAATAGAATACACATTTTTTCTTATATTATTGTGATTGATTAATATTGATAAAATTAAAACGACATTAATTCATGTTAATTAAAGAAAAAAAATTGGGGAAAAATAAATATAATATTTATGTAAAAGAAAATTATTTTTTAAATAATTCAACTAAATTAAAAAAATAAAAAAATCAAAATAAGTTATGCATGTTGAGAGAAAAAGGCATATTAGATAGTGAAATTGATATCAAGATATATATATCCAAATTATCACTAACTTCTTTAGATGCTATCATTCAAATCAAATTTTAATAAAGACAATTTCTATTGATTGTTTCTTTCGTAATAATTATTAACTATTAATAAAAGTCAAGATCAATCTTTAAAATACATTCAACTGTATAATTAAAAAATCATTTTTTTTCTCATAGTCATGTAACAATTTCAAGAGTTATATATCGTATAGTGAATTAAAAATTTTAGTCACGGATATTAAAAATAAAAATTTAAATGTGTTTTTAATGTTATTTTAAAAATAAATAAATAAATTGTAACAATAAGTAAATATATATTTATTTTTTAATATTCTTTTTTGACTTATTCTTATACTTTATATTTGCTATTATCATCAATTTTTATTTATATAATTAGTTAAATATCAAATTATCCAACTTATCAAAATAAATCATGTATTACACAAGTATGGAATCTAATTTTTTTATAAATTTTTTTTTCAACAACATTTCGAATTATATTATTTCTTAAAAATGTGATCGCAGAAATACAATCAGGATCACATACTATATATAGTACAGGCAGGAGCAATGCACTGAAGTGGCACCTCGCGCCACCTTGTTTTTTTACTTCAAAATAATATATTCTGTTTTAGGCAATGTTTTAAAACCCGGACCGACCCAGCCGGTCGGACCGGTTGGACCGGGAACCGGTGGTCCAGCCGGTCCGAATCTGAAGTTGGATCGGTTATGCAGTCGACCCGTTTCAAACCGGATTGAACCGGTCAATTTTCCGGTTCAACCGGTGAACCGGTGGGTCAAACCGGTTCAACCACTTTTTTTTTTTTTTTTATAAATTTTTTAAGGGACCATAAATCACAAAAATAATAATGAAAATTGAATCTCTTAATGAAAAAGCAAGGAGTCTTATTAAATATAACAATGACTACTTGTTCTAATATATTTGTTTGCAATATATACAACTTAAATAACTTTTATAGTATATTATTAATTTTAAATTATATATTTAATAATGCAATATCTATGTAAATATTACATATATTATTTTGTGATATTAATTGCAAGCATATTATATATGTACATATTATTTATATTTTTAATTTGTATTAATATACCGTTTAACATGTAATTTTTTTATGTATTTTTTTACAAAATAAAAATAAAAATAATTTTAAATAAGATAGAAAAATTGAAATTTAAAATAAGATATGAATTTATTAAAATTTATAAGTATAAATATATTTAATATGAATATTTTTTAATAAAAATAAATAAAAATCGAGTCATGCGGTTCAACCAGTGACCCACCGGTTCAACCTTTGACCCATTGACCCAATACCTTAACCGGTTCGATGACCGGTCCGGTTTTTAAAACTATGGTTTTAGGGCTTTGCGGGTTTATCAAGGAAACATGTCGTTTAAAATAATAAATTTTAGCCTGTAAGTTGCGACGCTAATAATTGTCTTTAACTAATAATTTATGTGACGCAACTTTAATTATTTTCGATTGAGACAGAACTTTAAAAGCATAATGTGCCCAAGTGTTCAACTTCTTTGTTTTGTTGTTGATTTTGCTTCATATATGCATAAAAGGTTTTGTTTTTCTTTTTTCAGTCAGAAATGAAAAGAAAAGAAAAAACAGAAAACAAAACTATCTAAATCTGATGGCTGGTATGCCTAGCTAACAGCAATGATGTAAGGTCTCGAGGACATCACGTACCCGAATAGTGTAAGAGTAGGAGAATCATTTCTTTGTTAACATTACTTTCTCATATATTGTATTTCATAGAGAAAGAAAAAGAAGTGAAATACGATAAATAACTAAGAAATAAATGGAAGATTAATATATACAGTAATTAATTTGAAAATATATCCATCAGTATCACTATCCAATGATTGTTAATTTCAAACATGGCTCATGTTCGATCACACATCAAAACTATAGCTGATTTGGTCATTATCTGCACCATAGCTAGCCACATAACCATTGGTACAGGCATTGAAATTAGCACTAGCTAGCACATACAATTTGCATTCTGTCATTATCTGCTATAATATAGGGAACCCACCAATCACTCACCTTCAAAATAGACCCATATATAGATGCAAATTTTATGCTAGGTTGCATACACATAAATACGAAAATTTTAAAAAAATTCTATATTTTTTTAAAAATTACCTAAATGGACCTCTCTCCCTTTTATTTATAGAAATAGAACTATTTACTGTTAAAGTTCAGAATTTGATCTTTGAAGAACTAAATTATAAGTTTCATCGTGGCCCATCCCAGTTAAAACCTTGCCAGAATTCGATCTCCCTCGAATTTCGAATAGGGATTTTTCTATTTTTTTTTTCACAAATTGAATTTGTTTATTTTAAATGATAATTTAATTTAAATAAAATAATAAAATTAAAAATATTATTATTATAATGAAATTAAATTTATATTATATATTTATTTAAATTTGTGTTAATTATTATTTAAATAAAATAAGTTAATTATTATTAAAAAAATTGTGCTAGGACAACATTGATAAAGACAAAGTGCATTAAAAAAAAATAATTATAGTAATATTACATGAAGATAGAGTGTATTACATAAACCTCCGTAATAGTGCCTAGTTCCACAACGAGGATGACGTCTATTACATCCTAGGTTTTACTGTGGTGGTTGTTGCTCTGGAGGATTTTGATCATCATCAAGGACTAGACGTTGGAATGCAATCGAGGAACTACTAGGTTCATTAGCAAAATCTAGTTGGTAAATATATTGCATTTAAGACTATACTGAAAATGGAGTTGTAAAATCTATTCCAAATAAGTTTGTAAAGAAATCCTCTGAAGTTGCTGCAAACGAATATCTTCTGTCAATTATGTTTGATTCTGGCGTCATGTTATGTGGAGGAATTAAAACATGTTGGTGAGTCTCTTCATACAACGACATGAAAGTTGCACCGGTTTCAAATGTGGCGGTAGTCCTTTGCACCAGTTTCAAAAAGTTCACATCTCATGCTTGCATGTAATTGCTTCATGCTTACACGCACACCACAACTTTAATATCTACATATCTCTCGTCTATACCTTACAACAAGTCTCAAAGGTATACAAAGGACAAATTGGAAAACTCAAACATGAAGACTATTGGCCAACTTATACTAATTCAACTTTGTGCTAAAATCCAGAATTCAAAAAGAATTTCCAAGGGTCGATTTAAGTCAAGTAAAATAAGAATATAGATGAATATTAGAGAACAACAAAGTTGTGTAAAACATTGTTCCTATTGTCGCACCTCACACAAAAAAAACATGTTCAAACATTGTTCATGGTCATCATTGATTTATGATGCCTACAACTTATTTTCTTCAATATATCATGTCCAAATTAATGTTAGTAATTACTTTTTATTTTATTAATATTAATTAACTTATTTTATTTAATATGTAAATTTGTGCTCATAATTAATTTATCATATTAATATTATAAAATTAACAAAAATTCACATATTTAAATAAATATATAAACATAAAATTAATTATAATTTTTTATTAATTTTATATACATATTTTATTTTATTTTTAAATTAAAATTTTTTAATTTTACAAAAATTAACATTTAAAAAAAACAAAATATTCTGCTAAAATTCGACTCCTCGAAAATCAAATTCCAATTGGGACTGTTAACTGAGGATGTGGAGGAGAAAGCTCATAATTCAGCTTTCCAAAACCCAATTTTGAGCCAGTTCTGTAAATAAAGGGGGAGGGGTCTATTTAGATAATTTTTTTGAAAAAAAATATTATTTTGGTAAAAAATTCCATAAATACACCAACATATTGGTATCATATTAAATTTACACTTACACTGTTTGATAAAGGGACACTGCGTTTAATAAAGAAGAAAGAAAGGAAGAGAGAAATTAAGCAACAGAATCTCTAAAGGTAACCTGATCAGCTATCGCACACCATTGTAAAAATTTGAATAAAAAATATACGAGTTTGGTAAGATATACTGTGAACGTGTCTTACAATTGCACGTATTTGCTCTTCTCCAAAGACTTTAAACACGTATATATCCTTTATTTAAATGGTTAAAATATCATGGAGATATATTAATCAATACTTTTAAGCTTGCATGTTTCTGTGATGAGAAATAGATAAAACGTTAATGATATTAATTAAACTGCTTAAAGTCCATTTCAATCAATTCACCTTTTCTTCCCTCTT